CACCGCGCTCGGGGAATCTGCGCAGCAACGCTCCAGCCAGGTGCAAGCGCGCATTTTTGAATATTCCTTCTGTAGAGGGACGGGCGATTTTGTTTTGTGCCGTCGGATCTCAGGGCATTTCCTTGAGCTCTGTGAAGCCGTCTTGGCAGAAGTGCCAAGCAAGCTTCCACGACCATCAGAGCAACACGATAGATCATTAGCATACTTCTCCTAAGGAACACGCCTGCAGCGTTCACGAGCGTTCTGAGGAGTGATATCAGACTGAACGCGTACGGCAAGTGGTTCCCCCAGCAGGCCCAGACGATAGCAGTTCGAACACTATCTTTAGATGTCTCTTCACGCTCACCCCTGCCAGAGCGGCGACGGGGACTGGGCGGGGAGGTGCCCAAATCCCCCCCCCCCCAAAGTTACCCTCCCCCCCCGAGGGAGGGTAGGGGGGATTCCCTCGCCCTCTCCCAAAAATCCCCCCCAAGCCCCAAGTCCCACCCCCCCCTTGCCATCGCTGGGACGTCCATTCCACCTGCATTTTTCGATTCCGTTTTTTCGCTGCATTTTGCAAAATGATCCAGGAGACTCCTCGATGGTCCTCGCCGAAAGGCCGAAAAAGAGTGCACGCGTCCGAGCGATGCCAAGCTCCAGGTTCCCATCGCCCGCAGGAGCCCGCGGGAGCTCTCGAACAAAAAGCCCTCGAGGAAGCCCCGGAGGGCGGGAGGGGCGGGCCCAGGCCCCCTATCGGGCCATGCGCAGCTCGCGACGAGTGGCTCTTCGCTGCTCTCGGCCTCTCTCGGGGGGCTCTTGCCAGGCCTCGGGACCGTCGCGCAGCCACTTGGGATGAAAAGCTGGCCCCTGCGGCAGGAGTCCATACCTCTGAGGGTCCACGCCGTGAGAGAACTATGACGTCGGGGGTCTGGGTAGTGAGGTGAGGGCGGGAGGACGGCGTGGGAGGGGATGGACAGGCGGGGAGGGGACGGGGCGGGAGGGGATGGGGCGGGAGGGGAGGGGCGGGGAGGGCGGTGGAGGAGGGAGGAGCGGGGAAGGGAGGACGTGGGCTTGGAGCGAGAGGTGGAGGAGGGGAGGACGTACGGTTTGAGAGAGGAGGTGAAGGAGGTGGAGGGATGATGACGGGGGGAGGGAGAAGGAGCCCTGGGGAGGAGCGATGCGAGGAGGTGAATGCAGAGCGAAGCTGGGAGCCAGGGGCCAAGGGAGCGGGAGGCGAATCGAAGCTCGCATGCAATTCCTGCATGTTGTTGCTTCTTGTGTGCTTGCCACTTGTTTTCTGGGGCCTCCAGAGCCTCTGGGGAAGCACACGCAAGGGCCTCCAGGGACCCCTGGAGGCTTCCGGGTACCTCTGGCAAATTCGCCTCGGAGTATGGGGGAGGATGGCTCCCTGATACCTAGACGCCGTGCGAACATCACGAACTGCGGCTTCGCCCCGACGACCTGGGCCCTCGCACAGATCCATCTGGCCCCAGAGGTCACCCGAGAAGATGAGGCCGGGAGTTCCTCGCCGTGCAGCCTCCCCAGCTCTCCAGTGCTGCTGGGTCCCCGGTCCCCGCTCTCTCCCCGCAACGCCGCGCACCTCACGCACTCTGCACTCCTAATTTTCCCTCCTCCTCCTCCTCCTCCTCCTCCTCCTCCTCCCGCTGATGCTGCGTTGCCTGCCCACCTTGTTGCAGGAGGAAGGTCTGCCTGCGGCCCCGGGGCGTGCGCCCCCCGTGCCGCCACCTTCGCCCGAGTTCGGCGCGCCCCTGTGAGGACCTGAGCTCTGAAGTGGATCCTCTGCCGGTCCTCAGCGACGACCGGGCACTCCAGAGGTCTTGGAGTCCTCGGCCTCGAGCGGAGCGGACGTCAAGCGACCACACGCTCGTGGCCAGCACCCCCAAACTGGGGCAGTGGCCAACGGCAGGTCCTCAACGACGACATTCTCGATCGTGCTCGAAGCTCGCACGCAAGACCAGGACCCACATGGCGCCACTCGCGATCTGGAGTGCAACTCCTCTTGTGGCCAGAAGAGAAGAAGACAACGTCACCCATCCACTTTTTGAGGTCACACGCGGCTGTCGGGACCAAAAGTTGGCTGTAAGGGAACACGCGCGCTGAAGCTCTCCTCTCCGCGGTGGGCTTTTTTTCTGAGGCAAGGGCCACCAAGTGCGCTACTGCCAGCTGCTAAGGGCTGGGACCTTCGCTGGGCGAAGCTTTATTGCGTCGGAACTCGATTGGACGGGGTGTTCAAACAAACGATCGGGGGTTCTTTGGGAACTCTGTGGATGCTGGAGGGCCCTGGAGTTTTCGTGTGGTCGAAAGCATTCCCGCCCTGGGACCCCTGTTGGACCTCCCACTGGGGGAGCCCTCCCTGGGCCCCATGGGACCCACAACGACCCCTTGAGACATCCCCGACCTCTCCAGAATCTAGCCCCTCCCCGAATTCCTTTGAGCCCCTCCCTTCCCCTTGTCCTTCCCTCCTCCTCCTACTCCTCCTCCTGTTCCTCCTTTTCCTCCTCCTCCTCCTCCTCCTCCTCCTTTTCCTCCTCCTCCCCCTTCTGCTATTACATCCTACCCTGCAGCCTTGTTGAAGAGAGAAGAGGAGGAGACGCAGGGAGAAGAGGAGGAGGAGGAGGAGGAGGCGGATGTCGGGGGTGGGGAGGCCTTGAGCCGAATTGGCCTTCGCACCAATGACTTCGAAAGAAGGAGAGCAACGTACACACATCTGCATGATGTGTTTTCGGAGTGAGCTTTTCTGCCGGTGTTTAAATTGTGCGGCTCGTGTGTGTGTGTGTGTTTTCGCTGCCCGCTGCCTGTCGCCCTCCGCCACTGCCTCGTGAGGGGCCGGTGCCCTCCCCCTTTCCCCTTGCCGTCTGTCCAAGATCGACCGCTTGTCGCCTTGTTCAGCCCGGCATTGTCCTCTCTAGCGCTCGAGAAGTTTCCGCCCCAGCGGCATGCGACCAAACAATATATACATATTTTTATATATACACACATATATATATGTGCGTATGTATGCATGTATGTATTTATGAATGCATGCATGCAAGCAAGCTTGTATAGACATGCGTGTGTATATGTGTATGTATATGTGCATGCGTATGTGCACATCTGCATCTGTAGCTGCGCAGGTCTGTGCATATGCATATACATAAGTGTACGTGTATGCATATGTCAATGTATCTGTACATGTGCATGTTTGTGTATTGTACGCGAGTAGTTGTATCTATGTATGATCAGGTCTGTGTACATGTATATGGATGTGCGTTCGTAAAGGAGCATGTGTGTGTTATCGGGAGATAACGGTGTATATATGGCTGTGCAACTATTAGTACTGTGCATCGACATATGCGTATTATGGGGTATATGCATATGCGCAGGCATGTATCTGCCTACATACAGATGTATGAATGCTTATGTGCCTATTTGTATGTATGTGCGTATGTGCGTTTGAATGTATGTATGCATGTATAACTGTATGTATGTACGTATGCATGCATATATGTATGCATGTATTCATGTATGTATGTTTGTATGTATATGTATGTGTGTATGTATGCATACATGCATGCATGTATGCGTGCATGTATGTGTATATGTATGTCATGCATGTATGCATGCATGTATGTTTGTTTGTATGGTTGTATGTATGTATGTATGTCGGTATGTAGGTATGCATGTATATATATATATATATATATATGTATCCCCCCGCCGTCTGGCCGTGCCATGCGCGAAGCGCCAGCTATGCAAGGGCAGGCGCTCCGTTTTTCTCTGGAGAGGCAGCGACGCGCCACAAGCCGAGCCAGATAATCTCGATTTAATTCGAACTCGCCAACTGCAGGCTGAGGATGCAGAAAGAGAGAGGGATAGAGAGAGAGAGAGAGAGAAATAGAGAAAGAGAGAGAGAGAGAGAGAGAGAAAAAAAAAAAAAGAGGGAGGGAGGGAGGGAGGGAGACTTGAGCAAAGGTGGCCATCGGACACGATGGACGGCAGCGGCAGCGACGGCGAGGATTCAAACACGTGTGGAACACTGAACTGTATCCCCCGCCGTCTGGCCGTGCCATGCGCGAAGCGCCAGCTATGCAAGGGCAGGCGCTCCGTTTTTCTCTGGAGAGGCAGCGACGCGCCACAAGCCGAGCCAGATAAACCCGGATTAAATCGATATGTAATTCGAACTCGCCAAAATAGACATGTGCCAAAACAGTCGAATGGCCGAAGGCCGTCATATGCATTTACAAACGAGACATAACATTATGCATCGCCGACGCTTTCCGGCAGACGATGGCATCATCGAAGAGGAGCGCAAGCCGCCGACACAAGGGCGAAGGGTAAGCTTCGGCGATTGCCGTCCAGAAACGGCCATCAGGAGCCCGACCTTCAAGAACCTGGTGAGGGCGACCGCTCCTGCTACAGCACCCTTGCACTCGCTTGCATACTCTAACAAGTGTGGAGAAATCGAGATGGGCGGCCAAGAAAGAAGTGAGTTTCCTCCAAGGCGCGCCCCACGGGCAAAAATCAGTGTTGACAAACGTCCAGGCCCTGGATCGGATGAGAGACGCCGCAGCTGGAGCGAGCCAGATTCGCGAGGTGCTCGGGTTTTCCATAGAACAGGGCACCTGCATGCGCTTCGCCACTAGGAGAAGCGACACCGAAAATCTCATCATGTGATTTCCAAAATCTACTGCAGACTGAGACGAAGCACTCAAATCAGGCAGACCGAGCACGTGCGTATCAGAGCGAAGGCGCGGGGGGCCTGGCTGAATATCGCGCGCCCTCGACCAGCTGCCACGTGGAGTGCCGAGATGCAACCCGAGGATGAGACCCCCCAGGATCCAGCCGCGAATAAGGCGGCGCTTGGCGGGGCCCCTCAGATCGTACTCAGCCCCATGTCGGATGTCCCAGGCCAGGACGTGGTAGCCGCGTCGACTCATGGCACGGCTGAGACGCCCCGAGCCCGAGAAGACCTCCAAGAACACCCGCGCCTTCAGCTGGCCCGGAACGGCGGGGCAGCGAGCCTCCCTAAGAGCACCTCGGGGAGCACGCTGTGGCAACGCAGGGCGTGCCTTTGGAGCGGGCCTGGGAGGCGGGCGAACTGCTCGCTGAGGCGCCCGCCTTTCCCGTAGCGCCGCACCGACGCGTCGGTCTTCCACCGGCCCCTCCTCTTCACCTCGCGGAGCGGCCGCAGCTGGTTCACGAAGTCCCTGCTGGCGCCCGTGAAGCGGAGCAGGTATGGCACGGGGTCGGGCGTGACCCCCAGGCGCCGCGCTGCCCGCCTGAACAGCGCCGCGAACTCCGCGACTGCAATGCGGAAGAGCGGCTCGCCCCCGCTCCGGCCGGCCACCAGGCGATGGAGCACCCCCGACAGCCACTGGTCGCAGTCGAGGTCGAGGACCAGGCTCTCGTCGAACTCCGCGGTCTTGCTGGCCTTCGCCTCCTCGCCTTCGTGCGGGTGAAGCAGCAGCGCCCAGTGCCGCAGCGCAAGGCTGCCAGCAGCTCGCGGCGGGGCGGCGCGGCGCACCAGCACCCGCTCCCACTCGCCGGGCCTCATGTAGAACACCATGGACAGCACCGCGCAGGCAGCCGCCTCCCACTGGCCCATGAGGACCAGCTCGCACGCGATGGCCGCCACCAACTCCTCGGGAAGCGGCAGCCTCGCCCGAGGAGGCGTCAGCACCTTCCAGCCCCGCAGCGTCTGGCGCGCCGCCGGCAGCGAGGCCGACCCGTCGCGGCCGAGCCGCGGGTCGCTCCACTGCAGCGCCGCCAACATCTGCACCCCGCGCCAGTGGTCGACTCCCTCGAGGTACTGCGACAGCATCCACTCGGCGAGCGCCAAGTCGATCCTCTCGACGTCCGAGGCCGAGAGCGGCCCCACCTCGCCGTGGTCGGCCGAGAAGCGAGGCGGGCGCGGGAGGCCCTGCTCGTCCATCCACTCGTCGAACTCGTCGTCGAACTGCTGGTAGCGGGTCCTGGCGGTCTGCGTGCGAACAGCGCTCCTCCTCAACGTGTCCCGAGAGCCCTCCACGGTGAGCTTCGCGAGCCGCCGAGCGAGCTTCCGCCGCGTCACGCCCTGCGAGGTCGCCAGGCCCGTCGAGCCCGAGGGCGGCGCGGGGCCACCCGAGCCCACCGGGCCCATCTCGCCCTGCAGGCGGCGGAGGCGCGGCGCCGTCGCAGCCGGCGGACTCGGCAAAGCCCTGGTCCGCGGCAGCGCGCTGGCCTCGACAGCCTCCGGCCGAGGTCGCCTCCGCGTCAGCGTCGCCGCCTCCTGCGCGGGCATATCCAGCATGCCGGAGGCCTCGCGACGGACCATCCGCGAAGTTCCACTCGCCGGGTAGCCGCGGGGCGGCGAGGCGGAGGCCTGTTGCCGCGACATGGGCCGCGACTGCGCGGAGGGCCCCGCAGACCCCTGGCGCCGAAGAGCGCCCCTTGCTCAGAGCCAAGACGGACGACAACGAGTCCGAGAGGAGAAGGTGGTGGCGCCCAAACGACGCTGTTGAACGGCAGATGTGCTTAACCCCGAACGCGAGCGCCCGGGCCTCCCCCTCAACGATGTTGTCGGGCGGGCCCCCCCACTTGTGCGAGCCCACGACAGCCCAGCCCTCCTCCCGAAACTCAGCAGGCAGACGACTGACGGCCGACTGGCGGGCGTTGATGCAGGCCTCCTCCGAGCCCACGATGTCCTGGAACTCCCTGGAGCTCTCGAGAGGCCCCTCGCCGACTCCAGCCCAAGCCCTTGACTGCGCATTGCTGCCCTCCAGGAAACGCCACCTCTCCGAGAAAACGCCCGCGGAGCCCACGAGGTCATCATTGAAGCCCTTGCTGACCAGCCCGAAGCCCCAGAACGACGCGTCACTGCACATCGCCGTCGGACTCCAGGCAACCAACATACTTAAGTTTCGCGAGATCATCCCCAGAAGGCTCGAGAAGGTGCTCAACTCCCAGCGAACTGACTCCCAGAGGGGTACTCCGGTGCAGTGGCGCAGCCTCCGCACGAACGAGTACACCGAATTGAAGATGGACAAGGGCTCGCGACATAGTAAGGCGACGAACGTGCAATGACCCAACACTTTTTCAACGTCTCCCGGGTCCACGGTATTGCGACTGACCAGACAGTCGAGCGCCAACCGAAGTCGCCACAGCCTTGATCTCTTGGGTCGGATTTCGCACTCTCTTCCCCGGATCTCCCAGCCCAGAATGGCAGCATTGTGATCGCATATGCACACCTCATGAGTGGGGGGACCCTTCTGTGTCAAGGCCGCGTTGACTAAAGTGACGGCGCGCCGCGCCGACTCGGGATCGGTGCCCAAAGCCAAACAATTGTCAACGTATATGGTCATAGCCAGCGGCTGCACCCCCGGCACGACACTCTTGTCGGAAATGAACGGCACGTCACTTAGCTCGGGAATCGAGCTGACGATGGAACGGTGGATTGTCTGGCACCAGTACAAGGCGTGCGACCAGCCCATCGGGAGCACGGCAAGCACCGGCCAGATGCGGCTCCCAGGCTGGAGCGGCCGCTCACGAAGCCGCACCATCCCCACGCCCCCGGCCTTCACGGACGGCAGGGCGAAAGAATCGCGAAAAACTTCGGGCAGGCCGAAGTGGTAAAAGGCGTCGCAGATGTCCACGTGGCCGACGTTTGCCTTCAGGCACGGCCAGCTCGCCCAGCGACGAACCGGTGGCAAGAGCTACTGAGGCTGGCCGCCGAAACCAACAGTTGGCCCGCCGGCAGCCCACCACCGCGCGCTGCTTGCCTGATTTCATGCGGACGAAGAAGAGGCCGCACTTCTCGCGGGGCGTGTCCGTGTAGGTCACCATCCCGGCGTCGGCAAGCCGCTTGACCAAGCGGGAGTAAACCCGCAAATCACCTCTCAAGATCGTGTCCATATATGGCTGCCTCGGAGCTGCCAGAAGGTTAGATTATACCTCCTCAGTTCGAAGAAGCTGCTCTTGCATTGAGGCCTCGACATCAAAATCGCCCACGTCTTGAAGCAGCTGCCCGAGCGGCGCCGGGGTGTTGCCGGCCTCCGGCAGCGAGACAAGGGAATCGTCGAAGCTGACCACCGGCGAGTCGAGGTCTTCGTAAACGCCGGCACCGCGGAGCTCTCTGAGGGCTCCCGCGGGAGTGAGGTCGGGCGGCCGCGGGCCCAGATCGACTGCAGCGCGGCGGACGCGCTCGTGCACCAGCCGGTGGGGCAGGCCCGGGGCGCCGGGCGCCTGGGGCCTCCCGGCCAAGTCGTTGAGGGCCCCGATGACGCGGTTGCACTCCTGCACGACGGCGTCACGCCGCAGCAGCCGCCGCCGCACGCTGCGGCACACCGCGCCCTCGCCGGGCGCCTGGCTGTCCACGCGCAGGAGGGGGGCAGGAAAAAGGCCCCGACGATCAGCAGCAAAGTCGGGTTGAATTCGCCCAGGCTTGGAAGAAGGAACGCCCTCCATCCTGGCGGCCTCGAGGTCCAGGGGGGGGGCGGCCGCCTGAAGACCTCCCCCCTGCTGCTTCATCATCCCTTGCCTCCGCCGCCCCCCCCTGCCTTGGGGCCCTTGCGGCGGAGTTCTCGCTCCTCTCGTGCCTTGCGAATGTTCTTCATGATGGCCGCGTCTTTCTCGACCTGCGTCTTGACGTGCCCCAGCAACTGCGGGGCGACCATGGGGAGGTCGCCCGCCTTGCTGAAGCCACTGAACGCGGCAAACTCCTCAGGGCTCATCTTGTCCTTCGAACTCGCGGATTCCGCCTCGCGCAGCTGATCGTGGCACGCCCACTCGATGGTCTGCGCCCGGCGGAGGATCTCCTCCGCAAAGGCGCAGTTGCTGAGGTCGAGCCGGTCGTAGGTGCCGGCCAGCTCCAAGTACATCATGAGCTGCTCATGTTCTTGAGCGCCCCATTGTTCCGTCTGCAGGCGGGCCGTGGTCTTGAACATCAAGTGGCGGTCGGTCGGAGTGTGACGCCGCCGCAGAAAGTCGAGGCACCACGAAGTCGACCTCGGCCCCGCCACGGGGAAGTCCCCGAACGGCTCCTCCTCGCACGCGTCCACCACGTCGCGCCACTCGCGCCCGCGACCGCGCGCCCCCGTCCTCATGGGGAGGGCGCGGGCGTCGCTCGCCGCGGCCGCCCCGCTGACGGGGGCCTCGCCGGATGAGGCGGCGGGCCTGAGAGAGGCCACAAAGGCGTCCTTGTCGAGGGCGGCGAGGTGCACCGCGATGGCCCGGCCAGGCCCCACCTCGAACAGCCCCCGCTCGCGCAAGGCGAGACCCGGAGCTCCGACCCAGTCGCCGACCTCGATCTGCCGCGAGCTGTCGGGCTCCGCTGTGCGCCAGAAGTGACCAGGCGGAGGCGGGGTCACGGTGCCGCCCACGGCGGCGGGCGGCGGCGCTCCCGCGGGCGGGGGCAGCGGCGGTCCCGCCGTCAGCGCCGCAGCAGCAGCCGCGTCCGCGGGGACGGCGAGGGCGTCGCCGTCGTCCTCCTCCTGGTCGCCGGGCTCGCCAGTCCCGTCCGCCAGCGCGCCCCCAGCGGCAGGCGCAGCCTGCTTGCCGGTCACGCGCCGCCCGCCGAAGAAGTTGCGGCCGAACGCCTCCTCCACCGTGACGTCGCGGCCCTGCTGGGTGCGGATCATCTGCGGCGCCGGCAGCTGCATCCCGCGTGCCCGAGCTTCAGCCGTCGAAGCCGCATACGCCCGGCGATACAGAGCTCGCAGCTCGCCCGGCTGGTCCGCCCCAAAGCGGCACGGGCGGCCCAGCCCCGGCGGCAGCCGCAAGTCCCGCGCCACAATCTGCCACTCCACGGGGCTGTCGTCCGGCGAGCCCCCCTCCAGCTCCTCGATGTAGACGTCCCCGTCCGGGGTCAAGACGACCCAGCAGGCCCCGCCCTCAACGTCCGAGGCGGCCGGGTAGAGCAGGAACCGCTCGTGCCAGAGGTCTTCCCTGGCGTAGCGGACCATCGCCCGGCAGCCCGGGATCAGCCTCGCCGAGGGCGCCGCCGCCGAGCGGGGGCCGCGCAGCTGCACCAGCGCCATCGCCCCGGGAGCTCGACGTCCAGACGCGCGTCAGCAGGCTCCCGAGGACGAGCCCCAGCACCAGCGCCGCCACGCAGAGCCAGCCGGCGTCGTGCCAGACCGTGCTCTGCTCCGCCACCTCGCGCACCGCGGCGGCTAGCGCGTCGCACTGCGGCACGGCCTCGGAGGTGCCCAGCCAGGCGGGCTCGCCGCCTCCGCCGCCCGGCGCGCCGGGCCCGTCAGGCGCCTTCCCACAGGCGCAGTGGCACCCTGGGCAGGCGGGGCACGGAGGCGCTGCCGGGCAGAGCGGGCACGGCGGCACCGAAGGGCAGCTCGGCAGGAGCGCCCACGAGGCCCCCGCGTGCAGGCCCGCGCGGGCCAGCTCTCGGGCGCCCGAGACCCCCGCGTCGACTAGGGGGCGGAGGGCGTCCTTCATCACCTGGAAAAAGACTTGAGCAAAGGTGGCCACCGGACACGATGGACGGCAGCGGCAGCGACGGTGAGGATTCAAACACGTGTGGAACACTGAACCATACCGAACTGTATGTATATGGGTGTGCGTGTCGCCTCCAGAGGCACTTCCTGCCCCTGCCTCCCGTAAGCCGCGCGCCCCACCAGTGTCGCCCCAGGCGGTTCCTGGCGCTGCGCGCTCGGCGGCGCTTACTCGGCTCCGCTGTGTCACCTGCCCTGCGGCCTCTGCTGCTGGGCGCCCGCGCCTGGTCAATGCCGCGGCCAAGCGCCTCGGTGGCCTGCCGGCTGTGTTGCTTGCGCCGGCCGGGCCGGCCGCCGTTCTCCACCCCTGCCCCGCTGCTCCCGCAGCTGGGCGCCTCCGCCCCGCCCGACCTATGGCTGGGCGCTCCTGCCTCACCCGGCTGTGATGCCGCCCCAGTGGCCGCGCCCGCATGCGCACTCCTCACGCAGTCCAGCGTTTCGTGGCCCCACAGGGAGCTCCACCGAATGCCCTGGTGGCCGCGGCCACATGCGTTTCCCCCACCCAGTACAACGTTTCGAGGCCCCACAGGGAGATCCACCGAAGGCCCATTGGCCGCGGCCGCATGCGTCTCCCCCATCCAGTACAGCGCTTCGTGGCCCCATAGGGGAGCTCCACCGAAGGCCAAAGTGGCCGCGGCCGCATGCGCACCCCCCACCCAGTGCAGCGCTTCGTGGCCCCATAGGGAACTCCACCGCAGACCCCAACGGCCGCGGACGTCGGACGTATGCGTTCCCCCCCACGCATTACTGCACACCCCTCTCACGTTTCGTGGCCCTAAAGGGAGCCCCACCGAAAGGGGTACCCACACCACGGTACTCACAACTGCATAAGGTTGGGTCCTTCGCCAAGGTCATGTGTTCGCTGTGGGCCAGGGCCCTGGAAGGCCGGCGGGCCTTCGGTCGCTGTGGGCGAAGGCCCCGGAGATCCAAGCTTTCTGGGCCTTCAAACGGCTGACCCCCCGACGCGTCCCAGATGCCCCCGAACCGTTGCACCCGACGCCATGATTTTTATGACGTGGCCCTCCAAAGGTCGGGACCACTGCCCATAGACCGGCTTTCCGTCCTGACTTGCTTTTCCCAAGCATCCTGTGGTGCTGGGTCCTTGTTTCGAAGAGACAATGCCTCGCGTCTTCATGCTTTCTCCTCCTCCCCCTCCTCCCATCCGTGCCTCTGCCATCCGCATGTCTTTGCTTCGGAACACCCCTGACACGTTTGGTGGTTTGTCCCAGTGACAACGTTCGCATGCGACCGTTCGGCACACACCTCACACGCTTCGTGGCACCATGGGAGGGAGCTACACCGAAGGACTCAATGGCACCGTTCGCAAGCGTCCGCGCCACACATTTTGGCACACCCCTCACACGGTTCATGGCCCCATAGGGAGCTTCACCGAATGTCCCATTGACAGCATTCGCATGCGTCCGCGCCGCGCATCTCGGTACACCCTTCACACGCTTCGTGGCCCCATAGGGAGCTCCACCGAAGGCCTCACTGGCGACGTTCGCATGCGTCTACGCCGCACACTTCGGCACACACCTCACACGTTCCGTGGCTCCATGGGGAGTTCCACCGAAGGCCTCAATGGCGACGTTCGCATGCGTCCGCGCCAAAAAAATCGGCACGCCTTTCACACATTTAGTGGCCCCATGGGGAGCCACTCCGAAGGCCCCAGTGGCTCTGGTCGCATGCGTCCGTGCCGCAGGTTTCAGCACACCCCTCACACGGGTCGTGGCCCCATAGGGAGCTCCACCCAAGCCCCCAGTGGCACCGTTCGCGCGCGTCTCCCCCGTCCATTGCGGCGCACCCTTCACACGGCCTGTGGCACCGTAGGGAGCTCCACCGAAGGCCCCAGTGGCATCGTTCGCATGCGGCATGCGTCTCTCCCACCCATCACGGCGCATTCTTCACGGTTCGTGGCACCATAGGGAGCACCACACAAGGTCTCAGTGGCACCGTTCGCTTGCATCTCCCCGCCCCTCACGGCGCACCCCTCACACGCTTCGTGGCCCCACAGGGCGCTCCACCGAAGGCCGCGGTGGCACTGTTCGCATGCGCCCTCCCCCCTGGTCTTGGCGCACCCCTCGCGCGGTTCGTGGCCCCATATGGAGCTCCACTGGAGGTACCAATGGCACCCCTCGCGTGCGTCTCGCCCGCCCATCACGGCGAACGCCTTTCAGGCCCAGTGGGTGCTCCACCACCACTGACACCGCTCTGTGGTCCCGTAGGGGGCTCCGTCGAAGACGATCTTCACAACTGCGACATTCACATCTGCACATAGTTGGGCTATTTCGCCAGGATCATTCGACAGCCCCGAAACCCCGTAAGGGCGCCTGAAGGCCGAAGATGGGGCCAGATTCAGATGATGATTTTTCACGGTGGTGCGGAAACGTGCGCCTTTCTAACACCTTTGGGGCCCGCGGTAGCAATCCAAGGGTCGCTTGGAACCCCTTTTGGGCCACCTTCTTGCGATCTGGACCGGGATCTCTGAAATCGGGCAGTCTCGTGCGCCGCGGCCTTTCCAGAGCGCTACGGAACGCTCTGGAGCGATTTATCCCACTCCGGGCCCCCCTCGTCCCATGACTTTACCGAGGCGAAGCCAGGGGCCCCGACGCCTTTCCCAGGGGGAGAACTTCGCCCCAGATCCGCTGCTGTTGGCCCCGGAGGGCCCGAACGAGCCCAGTAGGGCCGAGATCGAGGAGCAGCGTCCGGACGGAAGCCTCAGATCGTCGGAAAGCTGGGCTGATAGCTCCCCCGCCCCTCGCTGCCTGGGCGCGAACTTGTGGGGGAGCAACACACGTCGTTCATGTCTAGTCGTGCTCACTTTTAATTGTGCTCGTTTCGAATAGTTCCTAGCCCCCTAGCGGCCAGGAAGAGGCCCAGGACAGAAGGATTAGAGTGGAAAGGATCTAGGCCCCCCAGAAAATCAAAGAACGCTCGAAGAACCAGGAGTGAACAGTGTGCACATGGGGGGGTGGGGGGAGGAGAGGCGCCCTCCTCGGACCCTGGCGGCCCCCTGCAGGGGCCCCTTCTCTGCAGCCCTCGCTGCGCCCTCGCTACGTCGCCCTCCCCCGCCTTTGCGCGGCCTCCAGCCCTCGCTGCCCTGCCTCGGCCCCACGAGCGCTCCGAGAGCGCTCCGGGGCGCCCCGGAGCGAGTTGCCCCAGCCATGGCCATCGCTCGGACGTCCATTCCCTGTGCTTTTTTCGGTTTCGTGCTTGGCTTTTTCGCCAAATGATCAAGGATGCTCCTCGATGGCTCTCGCCGAGAAAAAATGCACACGTCCGAGCGATGCCAGGCCAGACTCCCGCGTTCATGGATCATCCCCAGGGCTCGTTCTTCAGCCCGCCCCGTTTTGGACGGTCCCGGGGCCCGGCGAGCGTCCCTGGCATGACCGGTCAGCGTCGGACTGGTAATCGAACCGCATGCGCATCGGATCGGGCTGCATCAGCACGGAATCGACATCGAATCGGCTGCGCCAGCATGCGCGACAGCGCCATGCAAGCATCGGGCCGCACTGGATCGCGGGAATATCGGAAGCAAATCGAACTGGCCAGAACCGATATCGAATCGGATCGACCAGATCGAGATGGACCCTGGTCCCCAGAGGCCGAACATGTGCAAAAGCCTTCCATTCTGACTTCTTCACGACACGGGGATGCCATGGACCCCGCGTGTGTCTCCCCGTCGCGCGCTCTGGCCGTCCGCGGCCTTTCTTCATGCTCGTTCGTTTCTGTTCGCGCAGGGGCAGGAACTTTTGGATACCGTGTTGCCGCGACGTCCCCGGCGACACGCTATGCTTGCAAGCGGATAGCGTGTCGCTCCGCTCCGCGGGGCGGGACGCTCGGAAAAGATCGGGACGCTGACGCTGGCGGCCTCAAACTGGATAGCGTGTCGCACCGAAGCGTGGTGGGCCAGAACCGGCCGAGCGACACGCTGAGCCCAAACAGTTCCTGACCGCCATTCGCTTCTGGCGCGTCCCGCCGTCAAGAGTTAGCCGACCGCTTGCTGGAGCCAGCTCGCCGCAGGCCACAGCAGGTGTCCCGAGCGCCCGAGAAGGGGCGAGCCGACGCCGAGCACGGCACCCCGGCGTCGTCTTCGTCGTCGGCGTCGGCGTCGGCGTCGGCGCCGTCGTCGTCGGCGTCGGCGTCGTCGGCGTCGGCGTCGGCGTCGGCGTCGTCGGCGTCTCCGTGGTCGTCGTCGTCGTTGTCGTCGTCGTCGTCGCCGCCGCCGCCGCCACCGTCGTCATCGTCGTCGTCGTCGTCGCCGCCGTCGTTGTCGTCTCCGTCGTCGTCGTCGCCGCTCTCGTCCTAGTCCTGCCGGTCGCTGCCGAGCGCGCTGCTCGCTGCCGCGCGCCCGAGCGGGGCGGTGCGCTCCCGCCGGCCTCGGGCAGCTCCTCCCGCACGAGCGCGGAGAAGCGCCCCGAGCCGTCGAGGACGAGGAGCCGCAGCGGCGGGCGGCCGTCGGCGCCGGCCGCCGGCGCCGGCGGCAGCAGGCGGCGCTGGGAGGAGATTGCGGGGGGGAGGTCTTCGAGGAGCTTGCGGGCCCTCCTCCTCCTGCTCTTCCTCCTCCTGCTCCTCCTCATCCTCCTCCTCCTGCTCCTCCTACTCCTCCTCCTCCTCCTGCTCTTCCTCCTCCTGCTCCGCCTCCTCCTGCTCCTCCTCCTCCTCGTTTCGATCTCTTCCACGCCCTCCTCCTCCACCTCCTCCTCCGCCTGGTTTCGATCTCTTCCACGCCTCCTCCTCCTCCTCCTTCTCCAGCTCCTCCCTTTTCCTCCTCCAGCTCCCCCACCGCCCCTGGCGCTTGAGGCTCCGGGGGAGGCTCGGGGATCGAGGATCCAGGTTTTCGGGCGCCCCTCGGCCCGAATAAATATCGCGATGATGTTTTTTGTCTCCCTCCCTCCTCCACACTCTCCACTCTCCACCGAAGACCCCGAGATCGTAGCCTGT